CGAATCCTCGCGTCGTTGATTCAATCAAATTTCGAAGTGTGGAGCATTTTTATCTGGCGGATGTTTGGCTCGCTGTCAGCACAAAATGTTGCCGTCCAGTCATTGTTTTAACGCGCATATTTACCAAACACACACACACACACACACACAACAACAGCAACAACACACATCCCATCCCCATTTATTCACACATCTTCGTTGCTAAATGCATAATTTTTAGTGGAAATTTCGGCACGAAATGTTTCACTTTTTGACTGCGTGACGCTTGTTTGAGGTGTGTGTGTGCTGTTTGTGTTGTGTGTATTGTGTGTGTGCTCATGGGGTTGCTGGGGTATGCCGCTGTTGCGAGCCAAAGGTCGTTTGTACGGCCCACAAATAAGGAAGTAATATGTCGCCGTTGCATGGCCATCAAAGCCAGACGCGTGAATACTTCACTGGGCTTGTAAATGACAGAAGCTACCGAAGCCTCCGCCGCAAGCACCCCATAGAGTGTCCGCCCTCACCGCCCCGCCCCTTGCACTGTGTGGGAAGTGAATGCTCTTTTTTCTGTCACGTGACTCGTTCCATTGTCAACGATTTGACTACACTGTTAAGTACAGGGTATGCGCATGTGTGAAGGGTAGTTTGATTTGCAACACATTTGAAATTAATAAGTACATATATACATATATACATATATATACATATATTACAATTTATTGCAATATATATATATTATATATTTTATTATATATATTTGCCTTTCAACTTTGGTGAATAATATTAAATAAATAAATCAATATTTATTACTTAAAATAAAAATAGAAAAACTGCACAGCTTAACTAAATAATATATATTTTGATCTTTGCACTATTTATAAACAAGCATTATTATAATAAATTTGCGTTTTTATTACGTAAAAGTGGATTTGTTCTTTATTTTGTCTTATATTAAATCAAATTTAGGTGTATTATAAGTGGAGAAGGGAAGAATAAATTACCTTACCTTACCAACTCTGATATTTATGCAGAAAGCTGCATCATGTGTTCTAGCATTTGCTGCTTAAGTTGCACTGATTTTTCAATAAGTTTTCTGATTCTCTTTATTGGTTGAGATTTCTTTGGTAGAAATTTCTTTCTGCTCTCATCATAGTTTCGCCGAAACGTGGTCTGCTGCTTTGTATGAATAGTCCGTTGTTATTGTGTAATCAGTGGAGCTACAGCCCTGCATTTTACACATCTAAAATGCTTGAATTTTATTAAGTATTTCTTATTACCGATAAAAATCGATCATTTTTAATAATAATAATTTTTAAGCGTAGCTTGAATACAGCAAATGCTGGAGACTTAAGATTTTCTGTGTTGGTTTCTGAAATAAATAAAACGATATTCAATATTTATTTATCAATATTTATTTATATTATACCCACCCCGAATACGAATTTTAAAAGCTTACAACTTGTGCTTTGACAAAATCTCACATACATTTTAAAGTCATTAACACGCTCTGAAATTTCGAATAAATAAAGTCCATTTAGAAGACATGTTATTCAATAATTAGTTTGCCCAGGGCTACAGACCCAAGTGCAGTCGCTGCATAAGCTGCGCAGTAAGCAGAGCTTGTGCTTATGCGTGCGTGTGTGCATGTGTGTGTATGTGCATGTGTTGTTTGCAATAATTAGATATCAACGCTACGCAGCGTACAGGGTATTTCCTAGTCGAATCCTCTACTTTTTTGGCTTCTTTCTTCTACGCCGTTGTCAAAAACATTGAACCGCATTTGTATTGAAAGATTAATGATACACAATTGGTCGCATCATCCTGATGTCTGTGGCTATTGTTATGCGAATTGTTGCTCCTGTTGTTGTCGTTGTTGTTTTTTTGATGATTTGCGCAAATTTATGATCCTAAAGAGATTGTCACATTTAAAGTTCCAAAGAAGATCTCCACGAATAGAAAGGTTGGGTCGCCGGCAAATCATTTCATTAACTTAATGTACCAGAATGTGACTTGTCGGTTGTCAACTTTGTGTCGCTTGCTTGAAGGGTGTATGTGTGTTTGTGTATGTGGTCCTGGCAGGATGTTGTTCACTTTAGTTTAATACCAAGTGCCGACTGCCGAGAACGACAAGTCAGTTAGTGCAGCAAAACTTTGCCAGCTTTGGCTCGGCTACAAGGCACTGATTTTATTTACAGGCTAACAACAAGGATACACTTGTGACGACAGGGCAAGTCAAGTCGAGTCGAGTCAATGCGAGTCGCTCCGGCTCGGGCAAGGGTGCTAAGAAACACAGCAGCGCTCGGGGCAGCTGGTTCTGCAGGCAGCAAGCTGCCAGCAACACTTACTTGACATTTAACTTGTGTCAGTTCCAGTGGCAACACCAGGAGATAGTCAGCGAGCGGCGAGGATAATGACAATGCATGCGTATCTGTTGCCAGATGACAGTGGCTAAGCAGCTGCCTGCAATGACTGCAGCAGAGAGCAGTGTTAATATTGTATATGTATATGGTTGGTAAGCGAACAAAACTAAATGAAATATGAGATAATTGTATTAAAAATATAAATTATAAACTCACGAGTAAAAATATGAGAGCAAAACAAACTTGAATATTGATCTATGGGCAAGCTGAGAGTTAAGCCAGTTTTCTCTCAGAACAATTTGGATAAAGCTCAAATATTCATTTGCTTAAGTAGCAGGCGAAGGCATCTCTGTGCCTGTCTGGCTTCAATATATAATATGAAGTGGAAAGGCAGCAGGAAGGAAAGCAGAAGCAAACAATTATACACCCATGGTGCTTGCCAAACAACAAACTACACACACACACACCTAACCACACTCGCACCCCAAACCCATCAAAAGGACACAGGGCCAGGCTGGCTACTTCATCATGGGCAGCCGCTGCATTAGAGATTCATCCATTTATTCACACCACAAGTCAGAATTGGAAGTGGAAGATGGCGAGTCAGGAGACGAAACAGGACATTTAGCAAAGAGGACAATTCGGACGCGAGGCGTAAACTTATTCCGAACAGACATTCATTCTTTTCTTTTCGTTTCTTTTTTTCGTTTTGGCCATACACAATAAGCCGCGGCACTTTTCATTAGCAGCCACACTTTGGCAACAGCTGCGAGGAGACAGGGTCAAGGCATGCACTGAGAGAAAGATTTTGCTGAATAACTGTTGACAATAACTGGCAACTATATTTTGAGACTTCACATAAGAACTGTTATCAAAAAACAGATATACAAATTTCACCACATACCACAATTTCAAGTTAGTCAAATTTTCTTTAAGTGTATGCAATGAAATAGCTTAGATAATTCAAAGAGTTAATTTAAACTCGGAATTCTTACTTTTCTTTTTCAAGAAGTACTTATATTTAAGCATATTCTAAAGTAGTTTTTATACAATATTTTGTAACTGCTTGCCGTTTTCTCTTAGTGTAGGTATTGTAGTGTATCTATAAAATGTCTTGGCCTTGCCGGGCTTTACTTCTTACTTTTTGTGGTGCCTTTGTTGCAGTTATTAACCCTTAACCTCACATAACATTTATTACCCACATTGTTCCTCACTCACACTAATGCACACACACACACACACACACTCACTATACACACTGGGCCAAACAAAGTCGCCTGCGTTAAGCTGACAATGACATTTTGCCCCTCTCCTCGTTCACTTGATTGTATTCTGTGAGGACGACAAAAGTCTGTGGTTTATCGCTTTTAATTTGTCGTCGCGTCTTTGGGGCTCGTTAAGTCGCCCTTTTTCCAATGCTTTTGCTTTGCTTCTTCCTTTGCCTCGCGCTGACTGAATTTTCGTGGCGATAATTGGCTCTGTGCGCAAGGCCAAGAAAATTAGAGATTTGTTGCTTGGTAATTCGTTACAACATGTTGAATGCCGCGAGCTTTGCTCTGCGTTTTTCTCTGCTTTCTTGAGACTCTTTGAGCAACTGAAGTGAGTTTATTGGTTTCGTTCAATATCCGGGTTGCCCTCTGTCCTTCCGTCTGTATGAAAGCAAAGTAGTTCGCCGCTAAGTTACCCTGAGTCTGGTCGGTACTTATCTTATGTGCTATCGGGAATTATAATCTTGAAACTCAATCCAAACTAGATATATTCTTAGCGTAACAAATTTAATGTTATACAGGTTTAAGAAATCGATTAAAACTGGACGCTTCACAGCTTTATTGGGTTTAATATGATTGATAATGCCCAGAACATTTTTAATAATTAGATATCTGCGTGATAAATCAAAATTGGAATACATTTGAAATTAGCTACAGTTGACCTAGTCTATAGCTTGTCTGCAAATTATGTATCAGACGCAATAAACTCGGCAGATATAATATCGTCAGATAGAATTATAAATAATACGATCTATACTTTAACATAACAAATCTGATAATATCCATATTTAATTACATCTTTCTGCATTAGTTCATAAATCAGTATTAAGATAGGGGCAGCAACTGTGCTCATGGTATTGCCTAGTCAGGCACTCCCGCCTAGAGCACACTTACACGATTTCTCGCCTTGTGCCCTAAATGTAACCATATTTTTCATAAGTAATCAAATTATTTTGCTCTGCTCTAGACATATTTTCTCATTATTACCGGACTTTAATGGAAACTCTATGTTAGCAAAGAAATAAGCAATTCTCCTTATTGTAGTATGAATTAAATAACTTCTGTTATGATATTCTTCCATATATCTAATTCTTAGTTTCATAAGGAATATCTTTACAGAGGGAGCTCTCAAAATTGATTCTGAATTCAAAGTCGCAAGTCAAACTTTGTAAATTAACTTCATAAATTGTATTTTAAGCAGATGAAATAATGAGTTTTGTCGGGGTTAAGAGATTTTTAAGTCAAAATTATTTTTGTAATCAAAAATGTTCAAATGCAATTTGACAAGAAAGTTCAATAAAAACTGAATTACAACAATATATCAATACAACAAGAAAAGGCGTTGGCTCAACTCCTCGTCGCCACTGGAAGTCGAGAGGAAAACGTTGTGGAAATGTCCGAAGTGGAGAATAATCTGGTGCAACTGCGTGCCCGCTTACAGGAACGCGGCGTCAAGTTGTGGGAGTCGCCGTATTATGTGGAAAATGTGGGCAGCAGTGACTCGGCTGTGGAGGTGCTCGCCCAGGAATTGAGTCGCGAGATGCATATAACTGCGGCGAGCTGTAAGAACACACTGCTGGAGCTGCAGCAGCACGCACTGCGAAAGTTGAGCGCTCGCCGCGAGTTCAACGAGACGGGCCTGGCCACCTTCCATGTGCGCTGCGTGGACAGCCAGGGAGGCACAGTGCATACGCTGGAGGTGAAGTGTAAGCTTGCCGAGCTGGGCGCCATGCTGCAGCGCAAAATTGCCAATGAACTGCAGTTGAGTGAGGCGGATCATGTGAAGTGCATATCGGCGGGCAGAATGGTGTCGCCACAGGCGACGTTGCAATCACAGGGCTTGAAGAACAATCAGCAGCTGCTCGTGATTGTGGGTCAGGCGGACGCCCAGGGCGAGGCGCTGTATGAGCGCATACGGCAGATACAGCGCGATGTCGAATTGGTTATCGATTCGGATCATCATTTTGTCGATCTGGAGGATCAAGATGGCAATGCCATGTTTTTGCCGCCGCACGAGAATCGTGCTCTCCTCCTGGGCATGGCGCTGGGCGAAAAGGCGCGCGCTGCCATGCGGCGGGAGCATTACGATGAGGCGCTGCTGCTCTTCCTGGAGGCGGACGAGAAGTTCAACAATTGTGACTCCAAGTTTCTGGAATGCGTGGACAACTATGCGCTGCTCAACCTGGATATTGTGTGGTGCTATTTGTGCCTGAAGAACATAACTCAGCTGCCGGATGCCCAGCGGCGGCTCGATGTCTGCGAGCGGATTCTGCAGCGCAGCTACGGTCCGAACTTTAGTCGCTTGTACGCCCTGAAGGGTTCGAATTGTCCGGAGCGTGCGATTATTGTGCGGCTGCAGCTGCTCCAGGGCGTCATCTTTTTTCATTCCAATCGTCGTGATGAGGCGCGGGCGCGCCTGCAAACTGCAGCCACAGCTCTGGGCGAGCTGAAGGTAAGTAGCGAACAGTTGGCGCTGCTAATGGAAATGGGCTTCGATGCCTCAGCGGCGCGCTTGGCTCTGCGCTCCAGCAATGGCAACGTGGAGCAGGCCGTGCAGTTTATCCAGCAGCGCAGGCTAAGCGTGCAGCAGGCGCGTCTCAACTCAGACTCGGAACGCAAGCTGAGCCGTCGACTGGCCCAGCTGCAGGTGGGAAGCGATGACAGCGATTGGGTGCATCCGCGCAGCGTGTGTCGCCTAATGGAACTGGGCTATGAGCGTTCGGTCGTTGTGGAAGCGCTGCGTCGCACTGGCAACGATGTAACCAAGAGTCTGGACCTCCTCCAATCGCATTCGGAAGAGCTGCGTCGCAATCTGCCCGCCACCCAGGCAGCCGATGAGCAAATGCTCTACACTCTACGCGAGCTTGGCTTCAGGTTGTCCGCGGCTCGGGCCGCTCTAGAAACTACTAGTAACAATCTAGACAGTGCCATAGACTTTCTGCTCAAGAGTTTTGCCACCGAGGAGGAGCTGAACAGCGTCATAGAGCACATGGCCACATTGACCGCTCAGGCAGCTAACACAGCTGCGGCAGCTGCCAATGATGCATCTTCTGCTGCCTCAGCGTCTTCCACTTCAGTCTCGCGATTATCAGCGCTGACGCCCAGCAAGCTGGCGCTGGTCAAATCCGTGCTGGGCAAGGCCAAAACGGAAATCGAATCGTATAGCGCCTACAAGCGCTTCAATGAGGATATTCCCGACATCGATCAAGACTATTTGGACTTACCTTTGGAGCAGGAGGAGCAAATACTTAACGAATACCGACAGCTATTGGATCATTAAAGTTTCTCTTTTATTCTGCAAAACAGTTTGCTTTCTGCCTGCAGATGCTAGCACCAGTCGGGAGTGCTCGACTAGGATATGCTCTGAATTCCGCCAGGCGAACGAACAGGGCTAGATCAACTCAGCAGAGTTGGTCCTCATTTAGAATGTATATAATCAATGGGCTCTGACACGCTGCCTTCTGCCTGCTACATGCACTTTAACACTCTAAATTACTCTAAATTCTATTTTCTCAAGGGGGTAAGAGAAAGGCAAATAGGCATTGTTAAAATTATGTCCCTTAACTCTTTCTGCTTAATTTTCTATGGTATTTTCAGCAAATTGAAAGTTAAAATTTATCAAGCTTAGCTTTGATATAAAAAAGCCATGCAAAGTACTTTTACCTTTTACAGTTATTAAATGGCTACCGGGACTGCATGCGCTGTAAAAGAGAGCTAAGTTTGTTACTTTCTATAAAGAATCAGATAGGATCTCAGAGCTGCTTTGGCTCTGGCATTCGAACATATTCAAAGGGTAATACAATTAATTCTAAATTGCTGTAAGAGCTGATTGTGAGCTCATTGTTCAATTATTGCCAGATAAGCTAGTCGAATATTTTCAGTTATATAGGCATTTGAGGATTTGATTTGGCTCAGGTTGCTTCCTTACTCAGTCTTTTATGTGAAGAGAATATCCTATAAACTTTTTGAAATGTCTATGCTTATAGAGTTTTTGAAATGCGCTTTTAGGCGTCTGCTTTCACTCTAGCTAAAAACATCTACAAGATGATGTTTAATGTTGTCTTGGAGCTCGTCTGTCAAGGTGGAGCATTAGCTTTTTAGCCAACACAGAAAGGCGCCCAACTTTTTTTGCTTATAGTTTTAACCGAGTGGCCAACAATTACTCATAAATTTGCTAAGGTTTGGCTTTACCCCTCCCCCCCCCCCCCTCACACACACACACACACACATATAGCCGCATGCGCTGAAAAGTATGCTATGCCATTTTTTGTTGGCTGTTTACTCATGTGCATAAACATGTCAGTTCTGGCTGTGAAAATTAATAATTTTTCAACAAACTACAACGTCGCTCGCACGCAGCCCCTCTCCTGGAACTCATCTCCCCTTCACTCGCAGTGCAACTTCTGCGCTTGATGGCCAAATAATTTGTCGTCTGTGTGTTTGTTTCCGAATCGTTAAATCTCAAATAAACTTAGTTGGCATTGTATTTTGGCTGCTTGTTGTTTGTTGTCGTTGTTGTTGTTGTTGTTGTTGTTAGGTAGATTTGTCATGCCATGCCGCACATTTTTTTGAGTGGCTGACATTTCACTTGACTGAGCCACGACTTTGGCCCGCAAATTTCTTTCGAATTGGGATTAAATCGTGCGTGCGGCCCGGCAGGAAAAACAATTTTCTTGAGTGTGCATTTCCATGCAGCTCGGCTTAAACACTTTAAATTGAACATTTATAAAGGAATATATAGTATATATATAATAGGTGGCTGCACGACTGCCTGACCAAATGCAGGCTGCATATTTTTTGCTGCCGCCTTTTGAGCCAACAAATTATGCAGAGCTATAAAACGACAGAAAAAATACCGCAAAAAAAAATGTCAAAATGTTGGCAACGCGCTGCAGTTGTAGTGCATTTCGGGGGCCGAAGAGCCAGAGCCGTGCCTGTCTTATTTAGTAGCGAAAATGAGCAGCGGCAGCGGCAGCGCTTAGAGTCCTGCAACCAAGGACTTGCCGCGAAAAAAAGGGTTGCTTGAGTGAGCTGCTGCAGAGGGTGCAGTGGAGCTGGAGGCAGGGCATGGGCGCTTGGTTTGGGCTGTGCATTCACTGGCTGATTTCCGTCATTTGTTGCTGCAACTGCCACAGCTGCGACAGGCACAGGCACAGTCACAGTTGCTGCCACTGCTGCTGCAGATGCTGCTGCTGTTGTCATCAACAGTGAGCAACATTATCATTGTAGTTGCAAGTGCTGCAATACCCTGTATTCATTTACAACGTGCAGGGTAGCAGCACATACAAAATCACTGTTAAGATATCTAAATTATAATGCTATATAGAGCAAGCGCTGCTCATGTTCGTGTTCTTGTTCTCTGAAGCAACTCGAAGCCTTTTAAGTTTGGTGATTATAGATCTTAAAGCATATATTTTGTGATTTAAATCTTAGGCTATATTCTTAGTGAAACAAGTACTTAATTGTTGCCTGATCTAATCTGTTCATTCCTGATTTCTGCATCTCCATATTGCCTGCTATAATATAACGTTAAGGTCAAGCGCTAGATTTTGCTTTAGGTAAGAAGATCTAATCACTGGGTAGTTGTACGTAGAGCATGCCGCTTCTAAACACATTGCCTTTTGTTATTGTTGTTGCTGTGTGTCCTCATTATCGTTTGTTGCTTGCCATGCTCTTCTCATGTCTTTTGGCATTTACATTCCATTTTAATATATATTTTTTTTTTTGTATTTTTCGCTTCTTATTTTTATCAAGTGGCAGGCTGAAGAACTTTAATGGCTTTGAAATGCACTTGGAAGTGAGCAGGAAAAAGATTTTTTCTCTCTTCTTAATTTATTATACAAAGTGAACAAATGAACAAAAAAAAGTAATTCTTGCATCAATTTGAAGTGTGAGTGTCTAAAACGTTATTACTCTAGGCCAAGCTGAACAGCAGCTTCATACGACTTAAAGACGCTTGAAAATCCAATTTGAGAACTTCAAACTGTTCTGTTTTCTGCTCTCTAATTTTATTCTACTTTTCCTTTTACTTTTATTGAATTATCTTGAAGTAGAGCTTCGTTTACTTGAATCTTTCTCTTCATTCTGCTTTATATTATGATTTGGTATTAAGCTTAAGCTGTGCAAACTTTGCTTGGTCAACTTTTGCTTAACTTTTTCTTAAGTTTTCTGCAGTTAATTAAAATAGGGCTTTCTTTCATATATTTATCTATTTTTCATATTATTTTTTTTGGCTGCATAAATTACAAATTAGTCGAGTCAAAATCAGCTTTCACGCAGCCAGCCGCAACTTAACCCCCATATTATTATCGTTCCCGTTCTGTTCGGACGGCGCTTTGTGCTTAGAAAGTGAAAATAATGCAAATGATAAAATTATTTAATGATGCGGAAGTGCGTTGATAAGCAAACGACAAATAATACCAACAAATGATGCTGCTGCTGCTGCGGCTGCGGCTGCTTAGCGTGGCATTCGTTTACCCTAACTGTGGGGTATTTTGATTTTGATTTTGATTCTGACTGCATAGTCAATTGCTATCGGGCTATAAGATATCTTAACGATTCTTATTAATTAAATCTATCTATCTATATTTAAACAATCGATAACTACGCTTACCAATTGCTTAGCACTTCCTATTCCTGTAAGTGCCTTGGCTTCTTTTCAAAAAGCTTACAATCTGAGTTGCTATAAAGTATGAAAAAGAATTTTAATTTTCTATGCCCCGTTGGCTATCGATATTTTTGTACTAAAGTATCTGCGGAAGTTTTGCTTATAAATATAAATTTATAATTATATATAGATATATATCGATATTTAGATTACGATACATGAATATAGTAGTGAGATATTCTTTAATTTAAAGCAAATAACTGAGCAATCAGTAGAGTTATTTGTCAATACAATCGATAACTATCGATATTTGTCAGTATATGTAAATATTAATATGTAAATTATATGTATTATATTTAAAAATATATTCAAATACTTTTATTTATATATTTTTATATTTTCTTATATTTACGTTTTAATTTACAAAATAATATAAAAATTGCAAAAAATGTATAATATAAAAAACAGTAAATATAATTATTGTTTATATGCGCTACTTTTAAATACCAAATCCTTACTAACGATAGAGTTTTTAGGTAAATAATTTGTTAGTGTAGTTAATATCTCGTTCAAGTTTCTTATATTTTCAAGCTGATTGTTAAGATGAAAAAAAGTTTATGGAAAATTCGTATTTAAACTTGTGCATTACATTTTTTTTTCAGTTTAAATGTTTTGAAAAATAAAGAAAGAGAAAATGCCCAACAGCTGCGGCTACGCCCGCGTGTATGCAGCACATTTCGCTTTCCACTAATTTAGGTAAATCTATGAGGCTATATCCAAAGTTTCGACGCTTTCTAATGAGCGAGACTCATGTGGCTGGGAACTTTATGTGCTCGTAAAACGTTTGCCAAAGAGCCAACTGCCGAGTTCTCCATTCGAAATTGAGGACATAACTTCGCAGCAATTTACATACTCATTATGGCACTCGCTCAGCGGCTGAGCGACAAAAAAAAAATGTCAAATTAAAACTGCAGCACAAAAAAAAATACAGTTTAATTAAAAGAACACAAATTCGTCGACTGTACATTTCACTATATAAATATGTATATATATATATATATATATATATATATATATATATATATAAATATATATATACGTAAAGCAGTCAACAATTTGTCACATTAATTACTCTTCTCCACTTAGCTTACTCGTAATTTTATTTGTTCGCCAAAAGAGTTGTTGAAATGTTCAATTACAAAAAAAAGTCTTGCAAATGTCAATTGGTGTGTGTGCGTGTGCGTGTGTTGTGGAGGGTGACTTTATTGATGTGACAGGTGCTTTAGGGGGTTGCGCTTTTCCGTGTCAACTACAGCGGGTCTTCCTTGCAGTCATATGATATCATTTTAATTACGCTTTAATTAAACTTTCACTTTTATATTATACTCTGGCAACGCTGAAGGCCTTATTAAGTTGGCTGCGCTCAGCATAAAAGTATCATATCTGCACTTACATGAAACAAAGTTTTTTTTGTATGAAAAGAAAATATTTTTAATGAGAATTTATTTAAACAAAGAACTATTGGATATTATAATTTAAAAATAAATCAAGTTAAATTAGATTATTTTCATAGTTTTTCATAATTTTTTTTGACAATCCTAGGAAAAAATTAAAAAATATTCGTTGTATTGTTTTTAAAACAAAAAATAAAATAGAAATACTTTAGCTCCAAA